CCTCCCCCCGCCCCTCCTCCCCCCCGGTCATCCAACTGCACTTCCCCTTTGAAGGTTTCGCTGCGTCTCCCTCCTCCCCTTGGATCTGCCAATGGTTCTAGCAGACGAGAAGTTTGAGGGAGAAATGAGGGTGCTTTTACGGAGTGGGGTTAGAAGCGGTACTCGAGGACTTGGGCACAGAGTTATTTTTGTTAAAGCACCCGAAGGAGGGGAGATCAACCCCCAGCAGGATAGAGAGTTTATGGGAAAAGTGAAAGTAAGTAAAGGATAAAGGGCTTGAGGGAAAAGTGAGGGTTAGTTTTGGGATCAGTAAAAGAAGAGGGGCTCGTGGCTCAGAAAGTGAGAAATAGGGGGTCATTTTTGTTACCTTTCAGAGTACCAGTTTACAGCTAAGGGATGAAACACACAGACAGACTGCATCGTAAAATGTCTTCTTACACATGACATTTAAGTCCAATCCCTCTATTCTGCTATTTGGTGGCTTGATGCTTTGTTCCCTAGTACCTACCTTTTTTTTTACCACTCCTTTTTATGGCTTAGTGGTTTTGGGCGGTAAGATCGTTATTTTGCATTGCTCGTGCAGTGTTTCCAGAGGAGCTATTTGCAGAATTACCAACAATGACGGCATGCATGCGCCCGGAAGAGCTTGTATTCGCTATGACGCACACCCAGACCCCCATCCGTACAATATTGGTACCAAGTAAGGAGTTTTTTCTTTTTCTCTTCAATGCTTCTCTATAACCGTAAAACCATTTCCTTTTGTTGTTGTTTTACCAGTTAGTCTTAGCGGTGCACAGTTATAATCATTATTCGTGGGGGATCGAAACATTCCTCTTCGTATGAGATTATTTTAAATTTTTTTTTTTTTTTTGTGAGTATTTTGTATATGGTTAAATTGTATTACTTGATGGATCGGAACATTCCTTTTCATATAATTATTATCTTTTTCAATGCTTTGTATATGTGTTTTCACGAATATATTTATTACGTAATTAAGGCGCTACTGCTTCATCACTGCTTCATATTCGAAACATTCTGAAAGTAGTGTAACCCGATAATCATGCCATTTTCCTTCTTCCTAATTTCATGATTGCTTTGATCAGTGCATTTTTAACTGTTTTTCGACATTTCAACTGTTTTTTGCACTTTGGGTCTGTGCAAAAATAGTTTTGGTCTGTTCAAAAATAGTTGAAAAATAGTTAAAAATTTCACACACCGACACTACCTCAAAGCTGCAGCTTCTTGGCTTTTATGGTTCCTGAGATAGTAATTTGCCCGCCAAAACTTTTATCGAGCCGTGCATGTTACTCGCGGCCAGTGGAAGGCTGAATTTAAATGTTCTGGGTAGCACGTAGGCAGGGGATATGCTCACAGAATTTTTAGCCTTCTGACTTTCGTCTCTCCCGTGATAATAATTTTATCCGCTCAAACTTTTATGGGGCCGTACGTGTTACCCGCGGGTATGGGGGAGTCTGAATTTAAATTTTGTGGGGCCACGCATGAGTGGGGAACGTTCCCCGAATGTGGTTCCCGAGTTGAAAGTTGCGGACAAGTTGCTGCGGACACACACACACACACACACACACA